GGCAAGACGACCGTTTGGCCAAATGGGACGGCCTTCTCATTCTTCTGGGCAAAATCTCTTATTTTTGTGTACAGAAAGCTTTTCTATTTTAATATGGAGCCTAGTAAGCACACCTAGGGACCTTTGAAGCCTTGTCCATCTTTGAACGGAAATCTTCTGCTCTTTATTGTGAGGTCGGGCAAGATTTGGGGTCTACAACATGTTTTGTGAATTCCTCATGGATTTTGATATTTTATCCAATAATAAAGAATGCATTGTTAGCATTCTTCAAAAAACTATCAAGGTTTCATTCAGAGAGAGGTTATGCCACAACATTTTCAAGTTGTTAACATTACATATTCCATATTTTATCATTACAATGAAAACCATACTTTTGGAGAATTTAAATTAATCTCAGATGGGCTATCCAGCTACGAAGCTCTATCTTCAGCTTGATGTTAAAAAAAATTTGGAAACAGATTTTTCATACAAAGCATTCATGAATAGCTTGTTTAGTCCAAATACTTTAAAGGGGACAAAATCCCACACCTCCCTGTTTTTGTCTCCCCTCCAATGCTAAGGAGATTTAGAGAAGGAAAATACTTAAAAGTTTATTTTTATGCTAATTAAATTATCCTTAACCTGAAGACTTGTTTTTTTTTTGTATTCATAGAATTGAATACGAATACCAAGAGGTTTATAGCAACTCACACTGCTCAACCAATTGAGCTAGACCACCTTGGTGAACACCTAATTACTTTATCTTTCCCTCCCCTCGTCTTCTGAATCAAACAAGTTGTCCCTCCACAAGAAATTACTGTATAGTCTGAAACCACCATGGTCTTTGACAATACAATAATTCTCACCCCTCTCCTCCCTTTCTTTAGACCAAATAGTATATAAACGAAGGTAAAACTGATCATATGTTCAAAATTTCTTTCCTTCCACAGCAACCATATTTTGATTTTTTGTTATAAACAAAGCAGATGATGAGGAACATACCTTGATGTATTCCACCCAAATTTCATCATTAGCTGTTATAGATCCTGTGGATTCATCCCAACTAAAGTCATTTTGATCAAGAATGGACTTTACAACAGTATACTGCCGCCTCAAAACCGAATATCGGTTTTTAAGCTGTTCCTTGTCCCATTTCAGACCTGTTTTGCTGTAAAACTCGTCACAAATATATTTCCATGCTTTCTTATTGAATAAATTGTTATGTTTATTCCCTTTATGTACTTGGTCAACCATGAGTGCTGCAAGTATCTTGGTGAGTGCTGTTGTCCACCTAGCCCTAGACTGATCCTGCTGCTGAGTTTCTAGCCTTCTTAATCTCATAAATTGCCCTGCCATCATAGTTTAATGTGCACAAGTGTTTGATAAAGAGGGACATAAACACACACAACACAATACACGTAACAAGAGGAAGTAGGTGTTTGGAAGAATGACATCCAATTATTCACCACAAATAGTTGGAATGTTTGATTTTTCCTCTGAAGCAAATAGGTGTAGCTTTTGTGATTTTTTTGACATTATATATATGAGATTTATGTAATCCAGCCATAAGAAAAAAACACACTAACACACTGTTAGCTCGGCCTCAAATGTGGTCCTCGGCACAATTCAAAACACGTTGTGAATTGTATTTAGGACTTAAAATTCTTATTCAATGTAGCTAGCAATAATTAAAATTGCATAATAAAAAATGCATTTCATCCAAAACCAACCCAATTAGGATAAATGAGAGAATGGTTTGCACTGGTGAAATGGAAAGCCCCATCTTGGTAAGAGGATGACACACAAATCAAAGAAAACCCAAAAAGAAGTATGAACCTTCATGGCACAGCAAGCAGCATAAGAGAGCAAAAGTATAAACTTTATTTCATTCGGAATCAGAAAAGCCTGTGTATATCCCCATTTACCCATTTTATGTAGTGATTTCAATTGTAGGCTCTCTAATTGTATTTTGTTAAACCTTTTTGAAAACCCTAAAGTGGAGGAGAGAATGGAATTTTACCTGAGAGAAAACCCGATCTCTCAGATGAAGATTGATCCTTCATGAGATTACAACATTTTAATCCTTCAAAACAGAGGCAGAACAGAGACTCCTTGAATACAACCCTCTTTGTTCACAATCAAAATTTTAATCACGGTGTGGCAAAGCGATCTTGATTAGTTTAAGTGATACAGATTTTAGATTATCCATTTGACAAATTTTTAATAAAATAAAATTAAAATATATTCAAACTTCTGGTCTATATTCCGATGGTTCCTAACTTATCTGGTGTCACACTTTTTATAATTTTTTTTTTTAAATATATCTACTTTTTATATTTTTATTATTTTAAAAATATATAAACCATAAAAAATATTTTTTATTTAAATTGTAATGTTTTTATTTTTTTCAAAACAAAAAAAATGGTTAAATTTTTTATATATATAATTATAAATTATAAATACCGGTAAATTAATAAATTATATTTTTATAATAAATAAGAATAAGTATATTGGTCTTTTTGTAAAAAAGCTATAATTATATATATATATATATATATATATATATATATATATATTCTTCAATTATTATCTGGATTTTATATTAAAAAAAATTATAAAATCATTAAAATATGTGAATCATATCAATACTGAATTTTTAAACAAAATAATAAACTAAATATGTAAATAGTGGATTCTGTTAATTAGATTTTTAGAAATGACAAAAATAAAAATAAGATGAAAAAAATGTTTAACTATAGATAAAGTTCATAACATGTAGAAAACCAAAATTTAAATAATAAATGCATATAATTTAAATATTTTTTTATCATAAAATAAGTTTTTTTTTGTATTATAAACAAATAATAGTACAATACCAAGTTACTTTACATTTACTTAAACTTATCAGTTATACTAATAGTGAATTTATAATAAAGTGTAATATTATTTTTATTTTTATTTTGAACAATTTAAATGATTCTATTATTTCTATAAATATTGTGTATTTCTACTATACAAATTTTGTAAAGTTATGAGACTTTAAATTATTTAGAAAAAAATGATAAATTAATTAAAGTAAATATTTTTTTAACTTTTTAATTTATACATCGTAACTGAAAAACTACACGGTAGAAAGATTATATTTTTATCTATAACATAAACAACTGTTAACTAAATTTATTTTTAGAAACAAACTACATTAAATAATTAAATAAAAATTATTTTTAGAAATAACTTATATTATATTATATTAATATTTTATTTTAAAAATATCATTAAATATGAAATTCTAATCAAAAAAAGTTACAAATTTTATAGATGATGTTACAAATGAAAATATTTTTATTGATAAAAAAAATTATTTTATTATTATATGACATTCAAATATTTTCTTTTTAAAATATGATTGTGTTATAGAAATCATGAATTTTATAAAAAAAACATTTTTTATTTATTTATTTTATATTTAATAATAATATACCTTTAATGTTTTATCTCTAATTTATAATTATATGATATTAATATCATAAAATTTGTTATCAATAGGACTTCATAATTGAAAGAAATTGAATATGAGAAAAAAATTGAAAAATGACATTAATATTTTAATATTAATATAATTTCAATATTATTTGGTATAATGAATTGTGATATAAATATTTTATTATATTTTTTCAATATTTCTTTAGGGTTTAGGGAATAATATTATTCACCTTATAAGGTTAAAAGTAACATTTTAATTTATTCATACCTTTTAGTTATCACTTTATCTATATTTTCATATCCTTATAAGTTTCATTTTCATTTTAAAATTATAATTAAAGATAACTTATAAATATCATTTTTTTTATATTTTAATCTATTACTGATAAACGAAACACAATTAATAATTAAAATATGTGTATATATTGGACTGTTCCAGAGACCCTTTGTTGATTATTTTCAATAAAGATATTCTTATTTTTCAATAATATTTAATAACAACTTAAAAAAATTTCGAAAGACTATTTATTTTATAAATCACATTGATAACCCACTAAAATAGAACCATATTAATTAATGAGTCGAGTATTATCAAGATGACTTTTTGTGTGTGTAAAAAATTATAATAACCAACGTAAACACCTCTTTTAAATTAGATATCTTGAACACTAACTAAAGTCTGCAATTAGTTATAATTCAAAATGAAGAGTTTTGCAACCTTAGTAGTTATACATGATTGTGTTATACATGCAAACCATCAAAGGTTTTTAATTGAGAAAACCTTAATCTTGCAACTTTTTTATTCATCGTCCCAGATAATCACTAATATCGTGGGAGAATACAGAGAATATGGGTATTTGCTCTTAATATATTATTTTAAAAAAATAAATATACATTACAAATTAGTAGCAAAAACAATGCATTATATGTTTGAATGTTTGTATTTATTTTATTTTATTTTATTGAATTAAAATTTAATATTTAGATTAATTTTAATTTTATATATTTTTAAATAACTATAATTAATTAAATAATGTCACTTAATAAAAACAATTTATCCAACTTATATTTTTATTAAATAATTTCTTATTTTTATTTGATAAAAAAAGTTGTTAAAAATATAAAATAATTATGAAAGAATTTTTTTTATAATGATATGGATTGTTAATATTATTAATTATTATTGTTGTTATTTTAATAAAAAATTTGACTTGATTTATTTTTTAAAATAATTTAACTTATTTTTAGGTTGAATGTATTTTTTTATGAGATATTAAAATTACTTTTAAAACTTTGTTTAATTTATTTAAATTCTAAAATTAAAGTAAAACTTTTATTTTTAAAGGACCAAATTCAAAATTCTAACTTTATTTTATCTAAATTTGATATCTACCAAACATGGACTTGTAAAAGTTCCACCTAACCCGTGGAGTGATGATGTTTGTTTGTGTTGAAGGAAGACAGCATGTTAGTGTTGCCTTCTCCACTCACCAACCACCAATCCACACCGTCGCACCCGTTCACCTCCTTCTTCCCCAATGGCTTCAGCAGCCACCAATTTCTCTCTTTCTCTCCGCAACAAACAACAAACCCCAATCCCCAAATCCTCCTTCTTCTCTTTTCCCAATAACAACAACCATTTCCGCTTCAACTCTAACAATTGCCCTTCACTCTCTGTTTCCACCGCTCGCAACTCAAGGATGTGCGCCACCTCGTCTAGACTCACGGATCCCTCCACTACCAAATCCCAACCCACACTTCCCACCACCGTCCAAGTCGACTTGGGTAATCGGAGCTATCCCATTTACATCGGATCCGGGTTACTCAACGAACCCCACTATCTTCAGAGGTAATTATAATATTTCCTTCATCAATTAATTTTATGTGTAATTTTCCCTCTAATTGTTTCCATTACGTGTGTGTTTTGTTTTGCACTTTCTCGATATTCAATTCTTCCTGTAATGTGTAATATATTGTGTTTGTGTCTTACTTCCGAGAATGAATCATTTTTTTTTTCCTTTACATGTCCATTTCTTATGTTAACTATTCGATTTAGTTTTGTTTTAGTCCTTATACCGCTATCTTGTGATGATCTTACACCACCAGAAAACTAACAGGAAGTTAAACATAAAAGGAAATATTTGATCGTAGAGATTGAAATGTAGAATTTTTAGATAGAGGGAGTAAAATGTAAAGGTGAGACAAAGTAAAGGGACCAAATGGTTAATTAAACCTTCAAATTTCTAATAAGGAGTGGATTTTTTTTCTTGTTTAATATTTATATTCTGAAGTGCTCTTTTCTCACTGTTGTAATAGGCATGTGCATGGAAAGAGGGTCCTAGTTGTAACTAACAAAACGGTTGCACCACTTTATCTAGACAAGGTTGTTGATGCTTTGACTAGGGGAAACCCCAATGTTTCAGTGGAGAGTGTAATTTTACCGGATGGTGAGCAGTACAAGGACATGGTAGGTCTCGTGTGTTTCAATTGGCTGTGGTGTTTGTTGCCATTTTTGAGAATTGCATAAGAAATGTTTGTGTTCATCTGATAGGATACTCTTATGAAAGTCTTTGACAAGGCCATCGAGTCACGATTCGACCGGCGGTGTACGTTTGTTGCCCTTGGTGGTGGTGTTATTGGTGATATGTGTGGCTTTGCTGCCGCTGCATTTTTACGTGGTGTTAATTTTATTCAGATTCCTACCACTGTGATGGCACAGGTTTCTGCTGCTCTTTAAATTTCTTTTCATGATTTGTGGTAATTAGACGTCGTGTAGCTCTGGGTTTTAATCTCCATGATCTATTCCTTATTCATTGGGTTGTGTATTATTATGTTTCCAGGTCGATTCTTCAGTTGGTGGCAAAACTGGGATAAATCATCGCCTTGGGAAGAATCTGATCGGTGCCTTTTACCAACCTCAGTGTGTGCTTATAGACACGGACACGTTGAATACATTACCAGATAGGGAACTGGCATCAGGGCTTGCTGAGGTTATAAAGTATGGCCTCATTAGGGATGCAGAATTTTTTGAGTGGCAAGAGAAAAATATGCCGGCATTACTGGCTAGGTAAATTTTTAATTTAGTACTGTGTTCCATTCCATTTTCATTATGAAGCTTGTGTTGATAGGTGAAACATCTCATGGGTCACAATAGCTAATTATCTGGGGAATATATTTTAAAATATATATTTTTTCTTTTGGCTGGAAAATAATATCCCTAGCTTGAGCTTTGTAACTTGTCATTATGTATTAGTTATGTTACACTGGCCCAGATCCAGATATCTGATATGATATAATACCATAGTTTTCTTGAGAAGTATAAGATACAAGAATAGCTATATATTAAATAAGATATGTTTTCTTATAAGTAAAAATAAAATAAAATTACTTACATATGATATGGTTATCTTCTCCCTCTTCAAGGTACATGTGTTCCCCCTCCCTCAAGTCCTTAAGTAATTACTGAGGTTGGCATATACTGTGAAGTTGATGGATATCTAAAAAAGTGATATACCAAAAATAATAGTATTGATATATTAGATGATACTGTTTTTGGATTACCTGTGCATCATAGCTTATTAGTGCCACATACTTTCTTGTTGCTTTGGTCTATTTTTAATCGAAATGTTGTGTAACTGCTCGCCTAATGCCCTTCTTCTACCCTTCCCATTTTTACAAGTTAATGTCATCCACTGCAGAGATCCTAGTGCATTGGCATATGCTATAAAGCGATCTTGTGAAAACAAGGCAGAGGTTGTGTCCTTAGATGAGAAGGAAAGTGGACTGAGGGCAACATTGAACTTGGGTCATACATTTGGTCATGTGAGTGATTGTCTGTGATTGGTATATTATCTTATTTTCGTTTGCAAAATTGTGAAAATTTTCCTCAGGTCTTTTTACACTCCTGATAATATTTATTACCTGGGGTATAAATTAATGTGTTGATGAACGATTATAGAACTATAAACATAATGAAAAAAGAATGAGTAAATCGAGACAGATTGTTTGGGAAAAGTTAGCTGTTCATATGGTGAACAATGTTCCAAATCAACAGGTCCAGTTGTTTCAAATATGCAATTTAAGTTTCTGCAAAGGATAGAACATGAAGAATGCTACATACCATAGATTTTAAAATATAATGGTTAAAATATAACCATATTTATTTGCTGTGCAAATGTGACATCAAACTATCTATTCCAAAAGATTTTTTGTCTGCGTTTTCCTCTCTGATTTTAACTCTGTTTCCGATACTTATTTTAGGCTATAGAAACTGGGGTTGGCTATGGGCAGTGGCTTCATGGAGAGGCTGTTGCAGCTGGCACGGTATTTCTTTTAAAAAAATAATAGCGTGAATTATACTTATATCTGTGATTAATACTAAAGTTTTATATTGAGGAATGTGTATCCAATTTACACAGGTAATGGCTGTTGACATGTCATATCGCCTAGGTTGGATTGATGAGTCACTTGTGAAGCGAGTTGGAGACATTTTAAAACACGCTAAGTTGCCTACAGCCCCTCCAGAAATAATGACTGTGGACATGTTTAAATCTGTCATGGCGGTAAGGCCCGATCTCAGTACCCTTTCAATGTTCAATTTGTTCTTATTATAGAGCTGAGCTTATAGTTAATTTATTTTGATATATCAGGTCGATAAGAAGGTAGCAGATGGGTTGCTCAGGCTTATCCTTCTGAAGGGTCCTATAGGCAATTGTGTTTTCACAGGGGATTATGACAGAAAGGCCCTAGATGACACGCTTCGTGCATTCTGTAAATCGTGATCTTTTTGCTCCATGTTTCTATTGCAGCTTTATCCAACCAATTCCATATAGTGAGTTTTTGTATCTTGAGATAACCTCACTTGTTTTTTCTCGTGTACTTTGGATGCCAGCCATGTTCCCCATCATATAAGCGAAGTTGTACTATTAGAAATTGAGACATGAACAATAATTTATTATTTGAGCATATCATATCTCATCTTTTTTTGCATATCATATAGTCAATAAGCTGAACTTGAGCATATTATATCCTGTTGCACATCCTGTTACATGAAGAATAGGATGATTACTTGATTCCTCTTATTCTGATATAATTAAATGACAATAGTTCCACCGTTATGGAGTTTAGAAATGGAAAGTTATAATTTTCTGCGGGAGCATGTAGGGGAGTAAACCCAATAATATTTAGAGGAGTTTCAAAATGGGTAGATTTTAAACAAATTCTGGATATGGATAAGTAATGTTTTAGAATACAATTTCACTATGAAAATGTTGTATTTCAAAATATGATTTTTTTTTTTAATACAGAAGTTGTTGATACGCATCTTTAATAGTATTTTGAAGCATGGATAAGTAACGTCTTAAAATATATTTTAAACTTAAAATTTTCCCTCTAATATAATGATTAATGTTTAAGCATTTAAAAAATAAACTGGATTTAAACCAATAATTTCATAATTAAAGATAAAAACTCAAATTTAAAAATTTTCCAAAGACTAAATTTTCATTAACTCTGTTAAAAAGTAGGTGAGAGAAATCAAACGAATCTATTTTTACCAAGGTAAGATTTTGTATGCAGTGATAACAAAATGTGTAATTGGGTAAAATTTAGAAGTGGGTGTGTGGTACAAAAAATTTGTATTTTTAATCATTCGAATAGATGTTACAATACTGTCTGTCTAACATGCAAGAGTAATGTAGTGAGAATGGGTATTACAGTTATTTTCATCATCATTATAAAAAAAAATCGAATTTAATGTGAAATTAACATCCCTAGCTCATGTATATCACACAGGTGCACACATTTATATTATTGATATTTATCTAATAAAATATTAAAAGTTAAACAGAAAAAACTTTTCGTTAAGCTAAGCTTGTTAGACTGATTTACCACTTAATATTGATTATTAAATCAGTTAATAATTTGAAATGACATAAAACTATTTTAAAGTAAAGGAAAAAAAAGGTTATCTTGATAGTATTTTTCATAAAAAAATAAAGTTTGAAGTATTCTATCAATAAATTCTGATATATTGTGTTAATATCAATACGAAAAGAACAATATATAAAATGTATAGACCGATAATGACTATATAAATTATGTGTATTAGAATTACTTCTCAAAATTTTCTTCTTTTATTTCTTCTTATTCTAACTTTTTCTCTTTTATTTCTTTTTCTTATTCAATTTCCTCTCTTTCATTTCTTTTTATTTTTTTATTTTCTTCATTTTATCTTTTATTATTATTAGAATATATTTTTTAATATTTATTAAATATTTTCTTTATATATATAGTTTTTTTTCGTACAATTTTCTTCCAACTTCTTCTTTATTCATAACTAAATCATTAAATTACAAACAACCCTATTAAAAAAAGAAATCACTGACACACACATAATATTTTGATATTCACGCCACTCTTATTAAAAAAAGAAAAAAATCGGCTGACACAAAAATAATCATGTTGATATTCATGCCACACTTAAAAAAAAAAAGATGACAAGAAGATAAGTGATAAATACTAAATTCAGCTACATGTATTAGAAAAATTAGAAGAAACTTGTCAATGAAAAGTAAAGGAGAAAAAAATCTAGAATTAAAAGAAAAAAGAGAGAGTAAAATATTAACTGTCTTTTACCATATTTACAGTCAATCATCATTATTAATTGTTCTATCACTAAACCAGAAAATGGTTTGATGTTATCACATAGATTTCAAAAATATCATAATTTGCCAATTAAATTTTACATAGTAATTTTCATTTTTACTGTTGGGATTGTTATCACTATATACAGTTGAAAATAACTTTATAAACTAATAAAAATAAAAATAATAATAATGATGTCAAGTATATAATTAATTTTTATTATTTATTAAATATCCACTTACAATTAAATCTCATTATACATTTTAATTTCTACTGAAGACATTAAATAATAATGATGATGATGATGTGGTCAAGTGTGTAATTAATTTTTATTATTCTTAAATATCCACTAGTAATTAAATCTTATTATACATTCTTAAATTTCTACATGTAATTAACTGTTTTTAATTTTTGCTCTACACATTATTATTTCCTATCAAAAAGATATGAACGATGATGTTCTTTTTAGATTATTTATTGGTCCATTTTATAATATTATAATATTTTAACCCACTTAATTAAAAAAAACAAAAAAAAACTTAAAATTATAATAATCCACTCTAAATCATATGAGGCAATGCATACACAAATATACGTAACGAGAATTAAATTTAAGAAGAAACTCTGAGAATGTATTCATATTCTGGTAAAGAATAAAAATTGAAAATACAAGTGTTGTGTCAATTATCAATTAATGATAAAGATCAATTTTGTCGGTTGAAACTTCAGATTCATCACACATCCAATCATGTTTGATCTGAAAGAAGAGTTTCACAGCGTGGTGGGTATGTTATACCAAAAAATAGATATAGTCACATTATTGAAGAGGAAAAAAGAAAATAAACTAGGCATGTCAATATCTTCTTTTCATTTTTCTTAAATACTTACCGTGTCTGAGAAATGGAGAGTGTACCTACCACAGCTTATAATCTCATTTTCTAAAACTAGAAAATTTTGAGGTGTTTATCTCTTAATAAATATTCACATTTATTTAATCTATATTAAATTTAATTGGATATTCATAAATTTATAAAATAAAGTTCCATAATAATGAGGAATACATTTTTAACATTTCTCTTGTCTATGATAGATAAGTAGATGAAAACCTGTTATTTGCAGCATAGAAAAAATAAAAAAGGTGGACCCACAATGTTCCACGATGATTGGACATAGATTTCATACTATAATAGACTACAAAATCTGCGATCATAATTTAACAGTTTGTCGTATTTCTTTTACTTTGTTAATAATTTGAAACTGTAAGATGAATATAAAATTAAATATAAAAGAATAAGAGTATGAAAATTTGTATAATTTTGGTGGCTGAATGAACATGCTTTTATTGGAATTATGAAGCCCCGGTTTTGCGTGAAAACACAGTGAAATTGAAGATGGAACAGAAACGAGAAGAAAAAGAGAGAAAAGGTGATGAAGAAGCATGGATGGGTGAGCATGAATTGATGCAGTGAGGATCCGAATTTGTCTGCGACAAAAAGAAAGTGAAAATTTATTTTTAAACGGAGGAATAGAAAACAAGGGGTTAATAAGAATAGAGTTTGTTTGTTGTGTTGTGTTGCATGAACGGTTCAACAGGAAAATCTCGCGGGCCATAAAGGTTTCTCCTTTCTCTCTCTATCTCTCTCTCCTTCGTCAATGCCTTCTCCTCTCACTCTCACAAAAGGGTCTGTCTCTTTCTTAGGGTTTCCTCATTTTTCCTTTTTCCATTCCCCGCTTTCTCCCTCTCTATCACTTTCCGCATTTTCGCAATTAGGGTTTGTTCTTTCTCCGTTCTCTCTTCTTTACCCATTCTTCTTCTTCTTCTTCTCCTGTTTTTTTTTTTTTCATTTATTTTTTTGTTGCCGCAGATGTGTAATTGAGGCAGAAAAAGAAAAAGAAGAAGAAGTTGGAGGGGGTGTGTGATCGGGTCCTCAGGTGAAGATCTGAGGCTTTTTGTGTCTCTTTTCTTTTCTCCGAGTTCAAAAGATGAGCGCTTCTAGGTTCATCAAGTGCGTCACTGTTGGGGATGGTGCTGTGGGCAAAACCTGCTTGCTTATTTCCTACACCAGCAACACTTTCCCCACCGTTAGTTCCTTTATCCCTTTATCATTTCAAACCTTAATTTTGGAGTCTGGGTGATTGTTCAATTCCGCAAATTTTAAGAATTTTAGTTGCATTCTGCATGTCATTCACATTTGGGGAAGTAATGGGACATGTTTCATAAGCCAACAGACAGCATTTGCAAAATTAGAATGGGTCATTTATTATGAAGTTTGGTCAGCAAATTGATAATGTTATATTTGTCTTTTCTGGAAAAGAGAGGCTGTATGTGTTTTTTTTTTTTTTTTTTTTTCACTTTGGTTCTTTTTATGTGGAAACAGGATTATGTGCCGACGGTTTTTGACAATTTCAGTGCAAACGTGGTTGTCAATGGGAGCATTGTGAATCTGGGTTTGTGGGATACTGCTGGTAATGCTGTAGTGTAATTATGTTTCTTTGACCTTTGAGATGTTGTTGAAAGTTGTCTCTGGATTTATTGGGTTATTTGTGGAGAGCAGGACAAGAGGACTATAACAGATTAAGACCTTTAAGTTACCGTGGTGCCGATGTTTTCATTCTTGCTTTCTCTCTCATAAGCAAGGCCAGTTACGAAAATGTCTCTAAAAAGGTACTTTGGTTGTACGTTATTGCGGTCTCTTGTGTTTTGTGTGTTTTTCTTCTCATTTCTTTTGAGGATAATATCAGGTTACTTATGGCTGGTAATGAAAGATATGGATCTTGTTTATGTTAAAGAAATATTCCATTTCTAAAAATTGGATGATAAAATGAATGTGTTCGTTTCATTTTCAGTGGATTCCAGAGTTGAAGCATTATGCTCCTGGTGTCCCCATAATTCTGGTTGGCACAAAGCTTGGTAAGTTTGTTTGTGTATGATTTGACACTGATATATTATCATTCGTTAGATGTTACCTTCTGACTTATTAATTGATTTCATTCATTCTGGTCTGCGTTACAATGAAATATATGAACTTTACCCAATGAATTCATGTTTGATAAATATTGACTTTAGATATTCTAACTTTGAAATTCTCCATTATCTTAGCGCACTGCTGAACCAGATTTCTTTCTTCTTTTTGGCCAGAAGCGGATGGATTTCTGGTGCATTTTATTCTCTTTTTTATTTAGATTTTCATATCCTATTTTGTCAGCGGAGTTGATAATGCCATTAGGGTCAATTTTGCATTGATGTTTCTGGTTGGCTGTTTGTTTTATTCATGCATTGTATATTTTGAAAGGCTGCCTGCCTCTAAATATGTATTACAATTTTCAAATAATCTTCCAGTGAGGTTCATAGGCTGTTTTGTTTGAGGGGACAAATGGTTGTTTTAGTTTCTTGACTGATGCATGTTATTGTGTGATTTGTAATGGGATAGATCTTCGGGATGATAAGCAGTTCTGCATCGACCATCCTGGTGCCGTGCCTATCACCCAACCTCAGGTAAATATTGACTCTGGTAAAATCTAGAATCTTGTTTAGTTATTATTTAATAAATTAAATCTGACATGTTTATTCCTTTAAAGGGAGAAGAGCTTAGGAAGCTGATTAATGCACCAGCTTACATTGAATGCAGTTCAAAAACACAGGAGGTACATGGTTGAGTGTATTTCTGTTTTTCCTAAATCACAATGGTTAATTTGACATGTTGATTAAGTTTGTTTGAGGAATTTATTGCAGAACGTGAAGGCAGTGTTTGATGCAGCCATAAGAGTCGTCCTTCAACCACCTAAGCAGAAGAAAAAGAAGGGTAAAGGACAAAGGTCCTGTTCGATATTGTGATCCAGTAGTAGGTGTAAACATTTGACTGCCCTTTGTTCTACCTACCTGTATTACCCTCCCCTTCTTTCTTTTTATCATTTCTTTGCTATTGAAGAAGTTAGAGTTTATGTGGGTCTCAGACAAATACTCTAGATCTCCTTGAAGCATAAGGTGGTTTAATGCTTTGCTTTCTTTGAATTATTGTCAACTCTAATAGTCAAATTTGCATTTCATGGTTCCCACCTTTTTCTTATAACTTTCGTTTTGATTTATGTATTAATAGACTGGAATATCCCAGTTAGGATAACGACCTTGTTTGCTTGGTGATATATATATTTAAATTATATTGTATTTCGATTCAAAGCTTTGCTGTGTCCACAGGTTTTTAGTTCATTCTTAGTAGCCATTTGGTAAAATTAGTTTGTTATACTGAAGCAGCTTCCTCGCGTTATATTTATTGACATTGTCTCCATAACAAATTCCAAGTTCCGCGAAAAACAAACAGCGAAGAGTAACAGTTTTCTTCATCCACTTAATTTTTTATAATTTTTATAGTGCTAATCGCTGGGCATTGGCCTGAACTTATGAATTGTAAATTACGAGGCGTTCTAATAGGTTATGAAATGCTAATCAATTTCATAAAACTCAGATTACTACAAGTCAATCCTCTTGTTTTTTTCATCCACTTCACGTAAAAGGAGAAAATTGATTTATTAGGAAAATTCAAATGTTTGTTCGGTTATGTATATTAACGAGAGGAGTAAAATGTGTTAAAACAATAAAATTGAGACTTGCTAAATATAAGAAATACGACTTGCATATTTTGCGATTTTTAATTAATTTTGCATCAATAATAATGTTTACAAGATTGTTTATGGGAGTTTATTGAAAACCTCTTTTTTTTTCCATAATATTAACTTTTAAAGTCACACTGAGAATGGATTTTGGTCAAGTACAGTAACGGTTTATGTTGCATGAGAATCACACCTAAGCTTAGCACAGGATGCGAGAACTACTAAGTCGCTGAGGCAATTAAAAGTGAGACTCGTTTTGTCACTTGATTTTGCCAAAACAATAACGAAGTGTTTTTATGTTGTTAGTAGTAGAAACTCCTTAAACTACAATTATGAAGCAAAACATGAAGCGATCCAAATACCATGGATTATTTATTCGTGAGACCAAAAGAATTGAACAAACACACTTGTGTTTCACCCTACTAAGGTAAGAATATGAAAACGAAGCATTAAAACGTGTTCATATCCGTCCACAGTTGCATTCATAATTTTAGCTGTCTCAATTTCTCATATTTTCATTTTGATTACACCTTCAAAGTTTAAAGAATTTAACTACGAATTAACAAATATATAATTATGTCTCAAGTACCGAGATTATATGGTAACAATGTACCAATAATCAACACTCCCTAATGACAAAAATATAAAAATTCACTAAAGAATTAGTTTGTTCATTTTTTAAAAATATTAAAAAGTCATTTGCTAACAACTTCAGAAAATTATTTGGAACATCCATTTTTTTTTTTCAAATTTGAAATTAGAAAAACATAAATCATCTGTTTTTTTTTTGCAATTTTAAAGTAAAAGAAAAAACACAAATCATTTTTATTTTTTTCATTTGTTTTATTACTCGCTTCCACCCGTTCTAAAGATTAATTTGTTAAATTTTATTTTCCAAAATAGATGAATAAAAAACGAAACGTAAAAAACTAGTTGTCTGAGTATATAAAAACTCTACACTGGAAATCAACAAGTCCAACCGAGTGAACCTCATGCACACTTTTAAGAATTTGAAAATAACAACTGTACTACAAATAATTTCTCTTAACTAATGTATGATTTGATAAAAAGGAAAAAGAAAGAAAGAAAGATCTAGCGATGTTTAAATAGTGGTTGAGTTTCATTAGTTACAAAGTGAATCGGAGTCCTAACTCAGTGACCGAATAGTTTTGCTGTCAGCAAATATCAGGAACACAAACTTGTGGCTCTGGAGATGAAAAATCCAAAGACAATTGAAACAGTTGGTTGAGCAGCACAAGAACAAATTGCTTTAAAACATGACAAGTCATCCTGTGTGTGAAACCTTGATGGCTTCATACTTCTCGCCAACAGTACCACCTTTTTGTTTCTGGAACTCTATATATCGCATAGTACTGGCTAAGAAAGCATCGGCAGCTGGATCTGAAGTCGTGGCATCACTCTGTATTTCATTCATAATTAACTCAATTAGGCCCTGGATAGCAGCAACGGTGATTTGTAGGTTTCCTTTCTCAAAGAAGTAAAGATACCTAAAAAAGACACATACGGCGTCATTATTCCATTTTATATTGTGGCGAAGCAAACAAAAACCATGCTGACTGGAGACTATAAATGTTAACCTACTTGTTTAATATCTCAATGAAGAGCATTACTGATCCCGTGCTACCTCGCGCTGCATTGGCCATCTGTTGGGCAGCATTTGCAATTCTTAAAGCCCGTTTGAGACATAATAGAACCCTGGTTCAAAAATAAATTCGACTTTAACAAAAAAGGTAAGAATCATGATAAAATAAATTAAGAAATAAATCCCAAATTCCTTTTCAAAAATTTCCTACATCTATTTTTTTTTTCTCCCTACGATGTTTTTCCAACTTATAGTGTTCTCGAGAGTCGATGTAAATATGTTCACACTCTTAAGAGAGAATGCAGCATGGGACAAAATCATTCTTACTCTCCTCTAATACACTCCTATATTGTGAGGTGTTCATTCTTGAAAACAGGATCTCCTTTATACTTAGTATATTATGCAGCTACACTTCGTCTTTATTTTGTAATACGTTTTGAGCTTTTTTATCAAATCAATATTTCTTTTCTCTTTAATTAGCTATCCAATCAAAGATGGTTTTAGTTTTTTCTATCAACATAGTATACTAAAATATTTGCAACCACCAGTAAAATTCATTAGCTAAACTATTTATAAATTTAAAAGTTTCAATCACATTCGAACTAATACAACAATCTTTAATATTTTTAAAATTTACAACTTTTACATTTCTCGCGTATTTATAAATGCATGTACAATGTATGGGATAATGGACAGTCACAATATAATGGGATCATTATTTGGACACAAATAATTAACATTCACCGGCTATTTCTGTTCAAACAAAGAAACAATCATTCCTTAGAAGTCTAAGATCTCATGTCAACGGAAACAAACCTCTCTCCATCTTTTATGTTATCATGATCATCAACCCAAAACAGATGTGAGCATGCATATACAGCTCTACATTGATCTGGCTTCTTTAAAAGCTTTGCTGAATACTATCCAACGAGAAGGCACCAAAAAATGAGGATTTAGTATAAAAACATATATTGAGCACTAGTGTACATAATGGAATTGAATAATCACCCCTGTGGCCTTGTGAGTTAAAGTGTCTCTGTTTTCAACACCAAAGACATGCATCCTTTGAAGTGTCCCTATTATTAAATGGATAGCTGTGACCTGTGCTCTGGAATCCTAGTATCAAAAAACAAAAACGTATAGTTGAGCACTGTTAACCAATACATTTTGTCAACATATACTCTTCCGAATCCTGTTTTCACCTATGATCCCATGAAAAGAACGGGATTGTTGTTTGGGAAGGGAGAAGCACAAAACTTGTAGGGGTACTTACAGAAATTTCTTCTTCATATAGAATATAAGCCTGGGTGAAAAATTCATAAGCAACAGGTTCCAAATCACAGTCATTTGCAGCCTTAACGCAAGAACAGAAAGAAGAAAATCAGCAAACAGGGTTTGAACATATCGTTTTGATGACAACCAAATATATTTCAGTACCTCAGCACACTGCAAGTACAACTGCAACGCTAATTCTGGTGCAAGGACACCTGACAAAGTCTCGATGGTCTGAGAAATGATAAGAGAATCATATCGTAAATTTACAGGTTAACTGTGCATAACCTTTTAAAAATACATGGAAAGTATTGAAAAAAAATTGAAAACATAGATATCTTGTAAATGCCAACTGTTCAGATTATCAGATGTTTCACCAACAAATCTTCACGATCTCTATATAATTATTAAATCAACATTCAATACTGGCCTATATTACACTAAAAAAACAACAAAAACCACAATTTTATATTAAGGAAAAATAAGCATTACCTGATTTAAAAGCTGAAAAATTTTCTTTGGTGTTGCTGAGGCATCATCTCCAAAAGGATTTTCTTCTTGACCTTGCAATTGTCTGACCAACTGTAGACAGTAAAGTAACATGACAATGCATAAATGCTACTATCTTTTCTTTATTTAAAAAAGAAACGGCACAGTAACAGAGCGATTGTCATTTTAATTGAGGATAAAACAGGAACACAGGGAACAACAGCAGCAACATCAAGAAAGCACAACATAAATAGATAATGCAAGTATTTTGACCTTCATTTAGATATCACGCCTCATTGTGTCACTATCTCAGTGAGAAATGGATGAAAATTTACAACTCACTATCCAGTTTACTCATTCATTAAAGATGTCATGTAGAGAGCAAATCAATTATCTACATAAGCTTCTAGCACGAAGTCAGAAAGCTTAGTACCAGGTTAAGTAATCTATAATCCAAGCCAACAAAATATTTCAATCAATTTCAACATCAAAACCAAGACAAAATACTAAACTGATTTGATCTCTACCTATGCTATTGCCTCCAGCACTATCAGTTCATCATTATGTAAGCAAAACAGCACACAATAAAAGCAAGTAATTAATAAAGAAAGGGCCACTCAAACCTTTAAAGAAGAAAAAACAAGAGGTGGAACAGTGAAAGGCAGACGTTTTGGTCCTCCAGTCAGTATGTGCTTCCTCACAGTATCAATGATCTGCAATTTAGTGCATAATAATTGTGACACAAATTAAAGGTTGAACTCATAAATAAACACAAACTCCTACCCCATGAAGGGGGTCAACAATGTAGTTCGCAGTCACAGGAAGTATTAGAATCACAGATCTAAAGGAATTTGTGACCAATTAATACGTTAAAGCAATATCCCGAGTTAACACCAAGTTCAGTTAAGTGCTTGACAGATTTTTTTCTAATATTTGTTTGCTTGGATAATATTCATGGGCAGCTTCAGTGTAAAAGTACTAACAAGTAAATTATTATTATAATTGTAACACATGAATATAATCAATTCACCTTAAACATTTCTTCTGCATCATCATTATAAAGCATCTGTATCAGTCGGGCAACAGAATTCTGCTCCTCCTTGAAGTCGTCTTCATCAAGCTAAGGGAAGGGGGGAAAATAAGTAAGGAGCAAGGATACAAAAATAAGGATTTCTTGAACATTTATGGGAACATATAAAACACATAATAAAAGGCAACATTAACGGGAGAGATCAAATAGGCATTATAAAAAATAGCAAAATGAGACTAGTCATGGTACTGAAATGACCTCGTCTTTAGGAATCCCATCAGAATCCTTGATGAGCCCTTTTATCAATTCAAACAATGCTTCAACCTACAAGAAAATCATGTGATGTTATAACAAGAACTCGCACCAAAAAGCAGACAAGTAAAATGTGACATACCTTTTCTGATGTAGAAATGCGTGTTCCATTTTTCATAATGCTTTGAATAATAACAGTTGCCATGACCTTAGTATTTGGAATATCAAGGTATTCCATAACACGAGGATAATTTGAAAGCTTCAATGCAGTCATAATATCATTATATTTCTGTAGTGGAGCACTTAATAGAGCAACAATCTGCTTAGTTGCCTTGTTGTCTTCAATTTTCCCTTTGCCAGATAGTTTTTTCACACATGCTCCCTAACAAGCATATATATAGTCAGTGCACACAGGTCTTAGAAAAGACAGGAATAAGTTTGCTTCCTTAAATGAAAAGAACTAGTGTTGCCATAAATTCAATCAAATATATACATGCCCTAAATGCAATTTCATACATAAATTCAACCAAAACTGTGTTTATCTTTGAAAGGGGACGTATTGGTGTACCACCGTGAGTTAAGAAATAAAATAAAGTCAATGTGTACATTCAGGTAAGAATAATTTTATGAATAAAAAAGTTAACATGAACGTGTGAAAAAGGTTTGAAATGAAACATACCAAGACTTGATCTGCATAATCAAGTCGGTCAGGGTGGACATGAAGAGTGAAGGTGAGAAGTGATGAATACAAAGTTACAATTCCAACAGTGGGCATGTCAGGTTGTGCCTCTATCACCTGCATAATGAAGGCATGAGAAGGATGTAAAGTACACTTTTATCTTCAAGAACATCCAAATCAGAAGTATGAAAAAAAAGACAATCAAGTGGCAAATGAAAATGAAAAAACACAAAGTTCAGAATCCAACACTGAAAGTGATTAGTTATGATAGAAATATTTAAATATAAACAGACCGTAAAAAGAAAGAGGTATAATCAAGATTGACCAGAGTATTTCACTCTGCATAAAGAAAGAAGCCCAAAGGCACTAGATCATTAGAATATCTAAATATCTCATCATACTATTATTATATTTATATCGTACAGTATTTTAGCATAACTTATATGATCTCTAAAATAATTATCCTATTCTATCTAAGATAAGATTCCTAAATTAGTTGGGATCAGGTATTGATAGAAATGAAGCTTAGTGCCATAATTTTGCATCACTTTATTAGATATGTATTAATATTCATTTATCACTTAGCATTAGTTCTCTCTTCCTCTTTCTTTACTATAATCCCTATAACTTTAGCTTGGTATTAGAGCAGTACAATCCCCCATGACCTATCCTGTCACTAATTCACTGTCATATTGCCAAAAATTTGAAACTGTTTTTGGTAGCAACTCTTCTGTTTGGGATTTTTCTGTTACTGTCCTGTTGTTCCAACAGCAACTATCAAAGTAGAATAATCGGTATAAGGCTCCACAATCTAAACCATCAAGGAGAGGGCACATCCTGTCTTAGAAGTACAATTGGCTGTCCATCTGAACTCCATTGCTAAAGGCCATCACGTAAGCTTATGAACCCTCATACGGTACCCTTTCCTGTCAATAAGTGCAGCTTGTACGCTGCCCTCTCAATCTTTAATCCAAAAATGCTATCGGTCCTATACTAAAATTTACTCAGTAACAGCTCCTTGTTCTGGTAGGTGTAATGCCTTTTCCATCTGCCATTAGTGTCCTGCCTCACACTGAATCTACTTTCCAGACCCCCTACCCTCTATTACCACCCTTACCATTAGTGGTCCGTGGCCAAATCTGACACACTGTCTCTCCCCCGCCCCCCTATTAAAGTTTGACAATTTGAATTGTTTCTTGACAGTCTTTGGGATGGTTATCTATGTTCTGTCATTGTTTTAGGCCCCTGTGTTAGTCCCACTTTTTTATGCAATAAGGTCTGATCCATCTGCCTAACCCACCATCTCTAGTCCTGGACACAACTTGACCCCATGATCTTGTCTTTGGCCTACTGTCAACTCAAACTCATCTCTAAACACAGATGCTCTGCTTCCATCCCCATTTCCAAACATTATCACCTACCACCCCTTTTATTTGGCTCCCATGAGAGTGTTTAACTGTAACAAGCTTAAAGCTTAGTAAGCTTTAGCTTGAGAGAGTGTTACAATATCAAGAAAAACATCTCATCACATCATTTTTATATCATAAAATATGTTAACATTTTATATGACCTCCCACGAATAGGTTCCATTTTTATTGTATCTTATGATTTGTTTCTTTAATTAGTTAAAATCAAGAGTCTAATATTACTAATTTATGGATTACTGCATTGCTTTTGCTGATATCATTGAAATTGAAATATAGTAATATTACATTATTATTATTTTGATTTTTTCTCTTTCCTCCATCTCTACTTTTGTATAATTTCAACAATCTTTATAAATGATTAACAGGTGACACTGTAATTGTATTAATCCTTTCAATTTTCTTTTTCTTTTTGAAGACTTAGTGCATTAAAAACTTTATTATTCGTCACTTGTGAACCCGTTGAGATGATAATAGAAACAAAAAACTTAATGTTTAATCTATTTCAAGTCTATTAATTAGCCTACAGTCAATCTGGTTAAGTCATAGATATGAATCTCAAATAGTGGCCATAGCAGTCAACACTGGAAAACACTACAACAGGATAGATGGAAGTGGGATGACCATTACTTTAAATGTTATTATACAAATTAATCCTTACAAATTTATTTTTGGATACTAGGTTAGTGCATTAAGAACTTCATCATTCACCACTTACAAACCTTAGATAGGGAGATAGTAATAATAATTTAAAAAATTAAAAAACTTATGTCCACATTATATCAAGTATATCAATTCGCCTACAGTCAGTCTGTGGTTAAATCATAGTTATGAACTTCAAATAGTGGCGTGTGGCTGTCAACTCTGGAAAACACTACAGCAGGATAGAGGAAACATTATGGGATAACAATGGTAGTCAAATTTGAGATCTTACTTAAGGTTGAAAAGGGTAGTATAAATAGTTAATCGATAGATTGTATAGTTGTTTTAATGTTTACGTAAAAGAAGAGGGAGAGGAAAGGTTTATTTTTGTAAATTGCACAATGGCAGTATCCGTATTGCAGTAGAAGAGAAAAAGTCTTCGAGTATTTTAAGTTACTGCACTGCACTGCACACTGAGAAGTTTTCAGGTTACAAATTAGAAGAGGAAGAGTATGTATGCAATATTTTTTATGATTTTAAACACAAGAAGGGAAGAGTAAGAGTCCTTCGGAATTAACAGTGTAGAGGTGAATCAGCTTTATATCCTTAGGAGCACATTTTAATTAGTTTTGATTGAGGCTGCCTTCACACTTCTTTTATTTTTTGTTAGTCTCAAAGTAGGATTGGGTTGGGTTGTTGGGCTGATGAGGATATCTAACCTAATTATATTTAGGTCATGGAATAAGATAGACAGCCACATCTTGTAGCCGCCACACTTACAGCACATCCAGCACCCACAGCCACTGCACCCATGCGACTAGGGGTGGCAAAAGGTCAGTCTGCCCCATTTTTAACCCGCCAAAAACAGTACAGGACAAGTTGACCCACCATACTTAGGATGACCTACAAACCCCAATTCGTCCCACCAAATAACAAATTGACTAGCTATTTTTATATGTAAATTTTTTTTATATGTATCTTTTTTAAATACACCTTTAACTATATGATTTGTTTTAAGTTCTATTCATTAATTAATATTTTTATTAGCTAAATTGAGAAAATTAATATATTTGTGTTAAAATACTTAATTATAATTCTAAAACCCTAAACCTTAAATCCTAATTAATATATTATAGTATATTTACATATTCCAACATCATAACACAAAAATATAATATTTTAATTAAATATAAATATATTTTAAAAGCGGACCAATGGATTAACCCACAACCAATTTGAGGTGGGCTAGCAGACCAACCTTTCAGGCCTAACCCGTTTTGTCACCCCTGTATGCGACAACGTCGTAGTTGCCACACACGCCACAACGACATCACTGCCCACACCAGCATTGTCGCACTCACACAAAGAGATGGTGCACCGACACGAGTCTCTCTTCAACAATGATCTCATGCGATCCGCAAAAATTTCTATTTTGTGGCACTCGGAGTCGAAGACCAGAGAAAAGATTCATATGATCTTACGTTCTCAATCACGATTTTGACAACCATGGGGACAACCCAAAACAAAGATTAGATTCAGGCCAAACCCAAGACAACCACCAAGCCCAGGCCTATGACAAGGTGGAAGCCTAAGATCCAATACAAGGCTTAAGAGGACCAATGACAAGAGCAAGAGTTAAAATTACTCCTGAAGTTTTCCAACATATGGTGGCTAATCTAATAGAGGTAAAGTAGATGATGGGGCCTAACATGTGGAGGCTCACAACTAAGAGATGTTATTCACATGTATTGTTGATTTGGAACGAGAATGGAAGCCCAATCGCAAGATTTAGCCAGTTTTTAAGTGTTTATTTCCTCAAACTGAATTATGGCATTTTCTTTGTAAAAGGTGAATAAAATAATGACTACTAGGATTTGAACCCTTGACTTCAAGTTTAACTATGCCCCATTAACCATTAAGGCATATGGTAATGCTTCTTATGTTAGACTTATATTTTTCTTTTGGTTCACTTTGAAGTACAAGAGAACTACATTGTAAAAATCATTTGGAAATTAATAGAACCACAGAATCTTTTGGATATCAATTGAAGTGTGAGAAATTTCTCTGCTAGGATTTTTTCTTGAACCATTTGATCTCATCAAGAATTGTCTAATTCTTTTGTGTTTCCTCTAGGCTTATCAAACACCATTGTTTGTGGCACCTACCCTTATTTCCTTTTAATTCCAATTTCAATTCTACGAGTCATAATTTCTAATTCCCAATTCTACAATTTTAGGGTTCATCTTTTATAAACATTATATCATCTTGTCAATTCCATAATTCTTCATCACAGTTACTTTAGTTCATAATTCCAATTGTGCATACCTCTTCCAATGTTTTGGGTGTCAAAACTGCATTTCAATTTGTGAATTTTAACCTAGTTTTGGAATCACCAATTCTCAGTTCTGCAACAAGAGTGATGAATATGTCTTAGTTAGGTTGAAAATCATTAAGGGGTAGAAGAAACCTCATCACTGGATGACCATTATTTTAAATGTTTTAATACAAGTTAATCATTTCAAATTTATTTGCCTTTCAGAGACTTGGTTAGTGCATTAAGGACTCTATCATTCATCACTTATGAACACAAGATACGGATATAATAATAAAAACAAAAAACTTAATGTATACTTTATATTGAGTCTGGTTAAATCATAGTTATGAATCTCAAATAGTGGCATGCAGTGGCAAACTCTGAAAAACAGAGGGAAGCCGGATGTTGCTCTGAATGTTATATTTCAAACTAAATAGTTATACTACACATAAATACTCAAAATTAAAGAAATGCATGATAAATAAGTCACATTTGACACACAATCACCATCAGTCTTGGGCCAATAAGAACTTAGTTATGAGGTCAAGAAAAGAATGATGAAACCAATAGAAAAAGAACATAACAAATTAGATAAAATTGGCAGAATGTCAATTGGGAAGTAAAAAGAAAGAATAAAGAACAGAATGCATGAAAAATAATAAGTCTTGTACAAGCTGAAAGAATAACAGGTGTTTAAATAGCACTACTATGGATGCATAGCAAAGCAGTACAGCCTTAGTGCTACATGGGCCACGATAGAAGAGTGGTTTAGCAGGCTGAATAGCAGATGGATTGCAGCAGCATTATGTTCTGATCCCATGAAAAAGCCTTCTATCAGAGACGTTTTAGCTTTCAGGGATGAGGGGGCTATTTGTCAAATTTCAATTTCCAGAAATGAAATCTATAATTGTAATAGTAGTGAAAACAACAGAGACTTGGAATTGGATGATGATGATGATTGGTGATTGACAATTCCTATCTGGGAAAATTCTATTTGACTTTGTTGGTAATTAATTACTTGTATCTTTTATTCAAAACACTTGACTTTCTATTGTTGATTATGATATGTATTTAGAGAAATTTATATCATTCTTAAGAATTTATGTGTATAGCATACATTATATAAACTTAAAAAAGAAATAAAAATCAAAACTGAAGCTATCTAAGAATCAAAACATCAAGTAAAAATGGGTTTGGAAGGCTATATCATGGTAGCACACTATACCATGCAACAAACTGCTATTGCAGCTGCAAAGAATTAAATCATGTTGGTTGCAATTACTAGACAAACCACGACTTTAGGGCAGCAAACAGTACACAGACACATATGTTTGCTCTACATGTCTAAAATACCCAAGATAAAACGAATGGGGAAAAATACCTTGCCAATCGCATTGCTTAATTTGGAAAATGCTTCCACTTGCAGAAACTCTGGCAGCACCTCTGCACTTGAAGCAGCATAATTTGAAAGCCTTTCCATTAACTGAGACAGTACTGTCTTGATGTCAACAGTCGGCTGAAAGATACAGTGGGGAAAGAAACAGAAAGTTAATGAGTGGTGGTGGTACCTATGTAATTGCAGCTATAAACTGATGGATATTTTGGATGCAATTTTTATAGTCCAAAAGCAAAAAAATACAATAGATACTGTCAAGTGCGTGCTTAACTAATAAAATAAAACCATAGCATTCAACATAGATTGGTTTCCCTGACAAGGAAGGCCACTTTATTGTCCAAAGTATGATATACGAATTAGAACTCAAAGAATACAAATGCTTATTTATTGAAACAACTTATTATTAACTTCGTACCTTGAATCAGGAAATTTCAAAAATCTCAAAAATAGAATATAGTTTAAAATGCATCGGTGAGGTAACATTATCTGTAAATAAATGCAACAATATATATGTAGGCTGACTTTCATCTATTACATGCTCACAGGTACAAACTTATAATTATTTAATTAATGCAAGTTTCTACTTAAAATCATATTCTATATGGAACTTTTGGAGATACCAAATACAGCTCCATCCTTGAATTTGAACTTTACAGGCATTACAACTGACAGAAACTTTTACAATAATTTGATAATTCAGATGCTTGCTAACTGCTATTACTATATAGTATATAGGTATTTACTTTATTTTTCAGAATTCTTTGATTACTATATTCCCTTTTTATTAGTGTTCGCAATATAATATAATATCACTATATTTGTAAAACAAAAGGGTTCAAGTTCACTAACCTGAACTTTCATGTTTTGGAAGGACAGAAAACATACAAACAACAAGTTCACTAACCTGAAGTTGAGGGTAAGCACCCAACAACACATCCAGAGTTTGCAAGTGATACTCATCAGGGAAGACTTGAATTATGCAATCCATCAAGTAGAACTGAGCCAACTCATCTTTGCAATTCACAACCTGTCCACGATAATTGAGGAAAAAGGAATCATATTTTCTGGTAAGAAAGTGAATCGTATCTTTGATTATTAGAAGTAGAAACAATAAAGAAATTATACCTGCTCAAGTACTCTTGGAAGCACAACATCTTTGTACATGTCAAGGTCAACACCCTCTATCTGACTGAGAACATGAAGATTCTTCCCAACCTAACAATGTATCAAGGACAAAAACGCAAGAGAAGCCTTCTATAAGCATTTCATTGTGTATACAACCCCATTGCAGTGAAGCAAAACAGTTACAGGCTTCAGGTATTACAAGATCACGCAACTCGCTCCTTTCTTTTTCTCGTTTCTCCTTCTCCCGGGCAGGCCCCTGCAGACCAGAAAGCCCGACAGCAAGCCTCAACTCAGGGTCAGCTAAGAGTATGAAAGATTCACATGCATTACTACACCTGCATGACCAGAAATCATGCCCTCATGATATATTTTACCCTCATGATGTGCAACTATTGAGACGACATGCATGTCTGAACATGAGTGTTGTAATGATGTGCAGCCAATTCAACCAACCTGATGTTGCATCCGCACCCAAAGTTTGTTCATTTCAGTGAAATTTTGCAGTACAAATTCTACAGCATCTGCTACAGTATCCGCATCCCTACATACAGTGGTCAAATTAGCCATTCATGCATCAAGCTAAATTTCAAAGTGGTGCAGCTTTAAGATAATTGTAAATGTCCCATAATCAATGTAGACAGACAAGTTCCAAAGTGAATCAGAAAAGGATAGCAGAAATCAGAAGATAAACCACAAAAATAAAAGTTAACAAAAAAGGAGGATCCAATATTCCAAAGACATGGAGTTGACATCATGCGAGAACATTGCCAAAGTGAAGTGAGATAATAGTGGCGTTGGTAGCCCTGATAGAGAAATGGTGATACTCAGGGTGCCATGAATTATGTTCCAAATGTTCTCTGCTACTGGCTCAGCTCATTGAAACTTCAAATCTAACTCAATTGAGAAGCCTCAGAGGAATAATCCTGTCTGTGAAAGAAGTAGAGGGAAAAAAATCTTGCTTTACTTACCCTTCGTACTCTGAACCAATATCTGGCAATTTATCCCTACTAACTTGAGAAAGGTAACTTCTAAGAAAGAGTCCGCGAACAGGGTGTTGAATGCCACGACACATCTCCACAAGGTCCTTAAGAACATCCTTTGCAGGAGCTTCCTTGGACTTGATGTATACTGATCCTACTGTACAGAGGAGATACCTGATTGTGATCATAAAATTAACAGCTCACAAGTAAGAAGCATGTTAAACTCAAAAGAGTGAACATATAACCATGCAAAAGTTCAAAACATCAAACGTTGCCCACCAAAAATTATTGCAAATCATGTGGTTCAAAACTGCCAAGTCATCAATGAACAAAGTTACAGAATTGATTTACAAACAAGCCACGTAATTTTCCCCACGGATAGTGATGAAGTATAAACATCAACCTCAATGACGCGTCATTGGCAGGAATTGGAAATATCAAGATGATCGTGCGTTGCTCCACGTACAAAGATAAGATAAAATAATTTACAATTGCAATTTAGAAACAAGCTTAACACAAACATATTCGGGGATTTATTGCTATCATAAACATAATATAATCAACAAATAATATAAGAAAAGAAAAAGGATTCCGCAACACTCTCACTCACAATCGAGGTAAAATGTTGCCAGCGTGCTGGACGAGTTCATAAAGATCAATAATGGAGCAACCGCGACGAGTCTCTTCCTCGAAGAACATCTCCAGCTTCCGTAATTGATCAAAGGCACGCATATCTAAAACACCGAATTCAGAGACCAGAGATGCAAATTAACAATTGCAAGGACAGAAACAGTTAGGTACAAATCCAACGAAAAAAAAAAAAAAAACACAAGGTAACGGTGGATCTGAGAGGAACATACATAGTTCGTAGTACTTGTGAGGAGAAAGCTTGGACGTCCTGAGCTCAGAGAGCATTTGAGCCGAATACTTCAAAGCGTCCCGGAGATTGTTGGAGTCCTGCGACGTATCGAAATTGGATCGGAATGAATTATGAAATTGGAAGGCGAAGCAGAAATTAGCCTGATCGTGCGTGGTGGAATAGAAGGAAGGGAGAGATTAGGGTTTAACGGAGGAGTTACCAATGCACGGTGCATGTAGAACGTGTTCTGCTGAAGGCCGGCGATTCCGGCGGCGAGAAACTTCTCTTCATCTTCGGTTCCGTCTAACATCATTCTCTTTCACTTTCCTTCTCTCTCCGTGTAACTACGCTTTGATCCCTCTTTCTAACTACCGGTCCAACCAAGCTTGTTTCGTTCTTCGCACTGGTCTCCGCTTGGGATGTATGTAATTCAGAATGGAGAATATGCCTTTACGGTTTACACCGGTTGGATTGTTCGGTTTACAGCACCTAATTTAACAAAGAGATCTTGGGTTGGGTCGATGTATTTTTTTTTTTGTAATCTAATCCAACCCAAACCTTTTTATTGAATTTCAATTAATTTAGTGACACATTTAAAAAAAATATTAATTTTTTTATAATTTTAAGATTTTTTAAAATATTTTTAAAACATATTATATCTTTTATTATTTAAATAATTTAATATTTTATAATATATATTTAGTTAATAAAATAATTTAAAAGTATTATATATTATTATCATTGTTATTAATAGAAAAATAGGTGTTGCTTGTTTATAATTTTATAATAGTTTTTAGATTTTAATTTCTTTTTTATCATGATAATTTTTTCTATTCTTTAAATATATTATATGTTCTTTTTTTCATTCATGTAGTAACTTTTTTTTCTCTACCATGTTTTAGATATAAAAGCATGATAAAACATACATACACACACACACACACATATATATATATATATATATATATATATATATATATATATATATATATATATATATATATATATTTCTAACATGTTCCATGTATAAAAGCATGAAAAAAAAAACAAAAGTTGGATGGAATATGTATTTTTTTAATTTAATTCAACTCAAACCCTTTTTATTGAATTGGATTAATTTAGTGACTAATTTTAAAAAATATTAAATTATTTATATTTTAGATTTTTTTAAAATATATTATAAATTTATTATTTAATAATTAAGATTTTTTATGATATGATAAACAGGATAAAACTTAAAAAAGATTTTCATTGGATTATCAGAGTGTAAATATTTATTTCTTATATATTCAAAGAAATGAAGAAATAGAATAAAATAATAAATTGATCAAAATAATAAGGTAAGCAGCGTATTAAATTAAAATTAACATGTAATGTACAAGAAATTAAAATCAAAGAACATGAAAATTGTAATGAAAAAAACAAAATAAAAAATGCAAAGTTTTATGAACCACATCAGTGGTTAGATAGACTAAAAAAACTAAGTGATGATGTTGTTATTTTAATCTAGGTTAAGTGGGGAGGAAAAATACTCCTATGTAAAAGAAATTCACTATATTATTTCAAAAACAAAGTTTGTTTTGATATTTTAAAAATTTAAGAAATTTATGATTATTATGGATTATAAATTGTTAAAAAATAGCATAATATTGTTAAGTTTGTAAAGTTTAGACCAACTACGTATAACTCTTTGTCAAAAGTGAAATAGTTGATATAACTCTTCTTAAATTTTTTACTAAAATAATTTATGGGATGACTTTTTTAAAGGAAGACAATCTTAATGTATACGTTAAAAGTATCACATTCAACTTCAAATATCTTAACAAAGCTAGTAGACTAAAAGTGGTACATTGAAAAACCTTTTCTTTAAAAGATTAAAAATTGTTTTTTAATCTTTGCCCCATTTAAAGGTCATATCCGTTTTTCTTATCTTTATTCAGGAGACCACCATGATATTAAAATCTCACTTAAATTTTCTAGAAAAATTAACCAACTCATTAAAACTTGTCACAAAACTTACATTATTAGGAGGTTACCATTCCCTGATGATTGTCACTTTCTCTTTATCAACTTAAACTTTCTTGGAACTCATAAAAAAAACTCTAGAAAAACTACATGATTCATCATAAAGATACATTTCTCCCTATTTGCATATAAAATATTTTTCTTAAGGATTTCAAATAATCCATGTGTTCTTTCTTAGACAACTTATAAATAAAGATGTCATTAAAGTAAATTATAATAAATTTGCCTGGTGAAAACACATAATACATTAACCACATAAAAGTATTTGATTTATTGTTTAGTCCAAGAGATATGACCAGCCATTCTTCAAATTTTGTTTTAAGGAAAGTTTTTTATTCATCTTATTTTTTTTATTTTTATTTAAATATAATTATTCTTCGAATCAATCTTAAAAAATATGATAAGACTGTAGTATATAAAACAAGTCTTCAAGTTTAATAATGAAATGTTTATATTTTATAGTTATATTGTTGATAGCGTAGTCTCAATATACATATTCCAACTATCATATTTTTTATGATAAGAATTACAATCATAATTAAGGACTTTTATTCTTCATTAGTATAGATAATGGAAGAAAATATAATATGAAAAATGATTTTAAATGTTATTCTTAAATGGAAATTTGATTAAAGCTTCGATTAATTAATATTATTAAAACTATTTTTTCTTAAGTGTTTATTATTTGACGAGCGATAGCTTTGCCTTTCACACTTGTTATTAGTAGGCGAATATTTTTTTATGACATACGAATTTACCTTTTGATATGATTTCTTGTGCATCATCTTCAAACTACTGTGCTTTAATTATAATGTCTTGAGGTGCATTTTTTTCAAGTTTGAGAGATCATTTTTCAAGGTAGCCTTCTAACTTATAGGCCAACCGTCAATTAATTTATATGGGTTATAGTTTATGGTACATTTTCCTTATGTTTAATTTTAATGGCCTTCTTCCACTTTTCAGGAGAGCTAATTATTTTGTATTATATGAGATATTTTCTGCCATATTTTTATCATATTAAAGAAATATTAACACTCCAATATTTATATCATGTTGTTCGTATCAAGATAATATTAAAATTACAATATTTATATTATATATGAATTTTTTTATATAAATATTCTTCCAAAATCATATCCTCCTTTAATTTGACGAGATAGATCAGATTAATATATCATGATAACACATTAGAAAAACTGTTATATATCATAACAATAATATTATATGTGAAATAAGTCAGGTACATAAAATTCATTGTCATTCAAAGAAAATAACAACGTACATCTATTAACATGAAATATATTTTTACTCGTCATGTAATTTTTAGAAGAAGAATATATTTGTAAACCCTTGTAAATACAAATTTCACATAAAGAAAATTATAAACCGGTCGTATAATTTTTACATAATTAAAATTATAAATCTTCAGTAATAATCTTACTAAATTCCCAATCTTACTAAATTATGGTGAAAAATACTTAATTAAAAAAGACTTTTTCTCAGTAATAATCTTCTTATGTATAAAATAATAATGAAAGATTAGAAGTTTTCTGATGAGATATTTAAAATCAAATATTGAATATAATTTAATGATAAAAAATTAACAATATCGTCTGTTATTATAAATTAATTTTAGATGATTTTAATTGTTATATTTAAAAGTAATTTTGATTAAAAATATAAGTAATTGACATTATTAAAACTGTCATCTGCATAATTTGTTTGGACATCTAAAATTTCAATATTTTCGATTAGTCAATTTTATAATTATAATATCACCTCAATTGCAGCAAAGCATTCACAACTATTATGTAAAATTAATAATAATGAAACTATGGTTTTGAAATCATTAAGATATGTCTGGATAAAATTTCACATGAAAATTTTTAAAATAAAAAACTTTGAGAAAGATTTTATTTATTTATTTAGTAATTAATCAATCCCTCTTCTAAAAAAATTAATTAATAATTTAAAAATTACTAAATATATATTAAATATCATTTTTATTTGATATTTAATTTTTGTATTCATATAATAATTAATGATTAAATCTCTATTAAGGTATTATAAAAATTACTCAATATCATGTCTCAAACGTTATTTTCATAATAATAATTTTAAAAATTACTAAACATCACTAGTATCAAACATATACAAAATTCTGCAGCAAAACAGTCACAACTATTCTGTAATAGTTGTAAAACTAATAATAATGAAACTACAGTTTTGATATCATTAAGGTATGTTTGGACAAAGTTTTACATAAAGAATTTTAAATTAAAAAAATTAAAAAGATAAATAATATATTTATAAATTAAATGTTATTCATATAAAACATTGCATATTCCAATATTAATTGTTGAAAAACAAAAGGGATTCACCTCAAACTTTCAAACATGCTTCTTCAAAATCGAACTTGCTGCACAGTTTACACCAAAGGTCTAGACCAAAGTTAGCAAAACTCCAAAAATAGAAAACCTCATGGAAAATAGCAAAACTGCACTTCAATACTGACAAACAAAACTAAATTGATCGGTAAAAAATATTGGATTCGTAATGGTGTGCAAAAATGAGGAGGGAAACCATACTATAACATTCCTAATTCCCATCAAAGAAACAAAATTTAAGACAATCTTCTTAAGTAGTCTTGTCGGCTTTAGCAGCAGTGGCAGCAGCTTGACCCCTAAGACGACCAGTCCTCCGGGCAGCAATGAGACCCACCTTCTGGCCAGGAGGAGCATCACGCCTGACCGTACTAGCATGCCCAATGTGCTGGTGGTTACCTCCTCCGTGAGGATGCTCAACTGGGTTCATAGCCACACCACGCACCTTAGGCCAGCAGTTCCTCTTAACTCTAAACTTGTGGTACGCGTTACCAGCCTTAAGTAGAGGCTTCTCAGTTCTCCCTCCACCTGCAACTTGGCCAATCATTGCCCTACACGCACTTGGCACAATCTTCTTCGCTCCAGAAGGAAGCTTGATCCTGACAACAGAGTGAAAAGATGCATTCAAACCCTTGCGCGGTTTTCCAGAGTGACTTCCATTTTACTAAATCCAACTCCTCTAAATTGATCAAAATAATAGATATTACTAAACATACATAATAGTTCATAATTCTGCTGGAATATCAACTCCTAATTCGGGGTTGAGAAAATAACTTTCTTGACTATAAGAAAGTGACAAGTCGCCAACTCTTTGTAACTACTAATAGAAGAAAAAGCATAGCAAAAAGAAACTAGTTATAAATACTGTCAATGGAGTTATATCTTACTTTGCTATTAAGAATATTCTTCCACAGTCCTTAACTATAACAAACTTTCACTTCCCTGGTTTTGCTTTGTAAAATATTACAAAATATAATTCAACTAAGTTAATGGTAAAATAAATTAAAACACCGCCGTTACGCAAACAAAACGATCCACTTCTCAAGCATGGATTTTGAATCAAGAAAAAAAAAAAACAAAGCAATTCTAAAACAATAATTCTGAGTCAAAATAAAAGGGCGAGTAGAGACCTAGAGGTGTCATTATCCGGATTGTGGCTGATGACAATGGCGTAATCACCAGAGGCTCTGGCAAAGACGCCGCGATCGCCGACGTGGTGTTCGACGTTGCAGATGACGGCACCCTCGGGGATGGATCGAAGCGGCAAGACGTTGCCGACGACGAGGGTGGCCTTCTTGCCGCAGTAGAGGAACTGCCCCGTGTAGAGGCCTTCGGCAGCGACAAAAAGTTCGGTCTGCTTTTTGTAGCGGAAGGGATGGCGGAATGTGACCTTTGCAAGAGGGGCGCCGCGACCAGGGTCGTGGATGATGTCGGTTACCACTCCCTTCAGGTAGCCGTTGCGTTCGCCGAAGTCGAGACTCCGGAACCTCGCCGGACCCTTCCGGTGGTGGGTGTGGGATTTGAAAACCGACCCAGCACCCTTACGCTGAGCGCGGATTACCCTTCCCATGGCGATGCACCTGTGTGTTTGTGTCGCGCCGATGGAAGGTTTGTTCGGAAGCTAGGGTTTTTGCTTTACTGTGGTAATATTAATAGATAGCGGACGCGACGCCGTTTTGCGTGTTGACCTAGACTGCAACTTAGTAAATTTAAATCGGTCCTAGATGAATGTAGCCCAGCAAGGACGGACCTAAATGGGCTTTGCTTTAGAGGAATGGTGTTGTTAGCTTTAACAAAAATTAAAGACACATTTTCCTTTTCCCTTTTTTTTTCTACCGTAGGATATGGACATCAATTTTGTAAAAAATTTGCTTGAAGGGAAAGCTAAGAAAAAACATGATCTGATTAAAAAAAAGCGAATGTGAAAAATCTACAATGAAATATCTTAATTCAAATATTCTATAATAATATTGAAGAAGAAGAAGAAAATAGCTTGAAAAAAAAAAAAAAAAAAGAGAATAACACATACTTTCAACGTGAAATATGAATGTGAAATCAGAAGAAATCACAATAACTCGACAAACATCACATTAATTACTAGAAAAATTGATGAGTAAGTAATTGTGGTCTGAATTTTGCCTTTTGAAAAATTGTAACGGTTTTTTGGCTTTTCCAAAAATGATGGCATCAATATAAAATATTACAACATTTTATACGGGCAACGCAGGATGAGAAAGTGTATGTGATATCACAAACAAACGAAGCACACATCATGCATTTATACCCACAACAAGACAAAAACAGTCCTATGGACCAGTAGACGTTAGTATCGCCGTTCAAATTCACGAAGACTATGCAAAAATACAATTGGACAAAACTTCGATTCATAGACGTAGATGTGGGAATTTGCGTCTCCCAATGCCGAGCTTTGAGCCCCTTAAACGACAACAGAAATAGGTAAAATATTTCCCTTCGTTCAAATACGTATTATTAACCATTAAAAAGAAAATCGTAAAAACCCAATACGTATTGTGTTGACTACGACGTTCTTTCGTCACATTCTCTTTTGTAGCAGTTTTTTTTTTTTTTCAAATATTTTGTTATCGTGGTGGAGCCGAGGAGCGTTTAAACAGTGACCACACACGCGCACATTTGGCCATTAGTCCATTCATTACCTTAACCCCCGCTCCTCTCCTCCTTTGTCTGTTTTTCTTCTCTTCACACTCCAAGTCAAACACTTAACTCACTCTTTGAGGCCTTCAGGAGCCAACACACCCATTTAAATCCAATCCTCATTTTCCTTATGCTTCTGTTCTTTCTATCACATTACTAAAGAAATTCCATTGTTCTTTCTTCTTTCAGGGTAAGTTTCTTTTTTATTTTTCCTTTCTCTATACATTTTTTGTGTTCCATGTTGTGTTCTGTATCAGTGTGTCAACTTATCTTGTTGCAAAGACATGAGGTAGTAGTTAGTGCATTCTACTTTGTTACTGTTGTTTGATTCTGGGGTTCTTTCTGTTGGATTTTGGAGTTCATGAGGTAGTTTGATTTTGTTTTAAACTAAATTTAAATGAGAGTAAAAGAGGACAGTGGTTAATGTCACGGATTCACATTATATAACTTCTTATGCGATGGTAACGTTGATAAAGTAAACGCAAAATAGAATAGTTTAGCTGTGATTAATACTATGAAAGAAAAGGGAAATAAACTGAATAACACCATTTGAAACAAGAATTGAGTTTGAAATACAAGAAGTGTTTATATAGCAACAGGGTAAGGACTCAATAACAAATTTATATAACTGGAATAACTTACTAGAACTACTAACAGAAAGCTTATTGACAACCAACAAAGAATTTAACCAGCTTCTGTTCCTCCATCTTTTATCTCCAATCTTTGAGAGAAACCATGTTAAAGAAAAAAACAGATTATGGTGCATGGACGTATTTGCAATACCATACCGTGGATGGAAAGACCACGTTTTTGTTACATGGTGTATTTTGATTTGATTACAAAGTGTATAATTTGCAACAGTGACAATTTTTTTTATTGTAAAGTGTATTTCTAGCTGGTTTATTTGGTTCGATTTGATTTTAGCCACCGATGCATATCAATACTATTACATGCTTTTTACCTTACGAGTCAAATGATGTGAGCAGGGTAGAATTGAGATGGACCGCCGGGGTTGGCCCTGGAAGAAGAAATCATCTGATAAAAGCATAAAGGTTGAGAATGAGAAACCTGCGTCTGCTTGTGAATCTGGTGTTTCTATATTGTCTTCTGTGGCACATGTAGGAGATCAGGTATTTAGTTCTTTTTAAATGTTCAGGAGGAAAAACGTTTTTACATGAAGTCACTTGCTAAATTTCTCACTAGCTTTTTTTTTTTGGTCATTTTCAGCAAGAGAACAGCAAACATAAGAACTATGTTCAAATATCAATGGAGTCATATACTCGTATGTCTGGATTGGAAGATCAAGTTGTAAACTTAGAGGATCAACTAAAAGCTTTGGAAGCAAAGCTATCTTCAGTTTATTCGGAATTAGATAACAAGGATAATCTAGTTAAACAGCATGCAAAAGTTGCAGAGGAGGCAGTCTCAGGTAATTCTGATATACACATATGTACATAATTCGACGTGACCATTTTTTTTAGATGCTCAGCTACAACGTTTTGAAATAATTAGATTAAATTCAATGTCTATATTCCACTTGTTAAGTGTTGGTTAATTAAGCTTTATACGCATTTTAGGTTGGGAGAAAGCTGATTCAGAAGTTGTTTCCCTGAGACGTCAACTTGAATCTGTGTCTCTCTCTAAGCTTAATGTTGATGAGAAAACAGCTCACCTAGAAGAAGCTTTAAAAGGGTGCATGAAGCAGATAAGAACTGTAAAGGAAGAAAGTGAGCATAAACTGCATGAGGTGATTCTTATGAAATCTCATCAATGGGAGAAAATCAAGTTAGAACTTGAAGCTCAAATAGACAATTTGGATGAAGGACTTCGTGAGTTAGCCAGTGAAAATGCTGCCCTTAGAAGATCACTTCAAGAAAGTTCGAACAAAATAGTGAAACTAAAAGAAGAAAAGTCTGAAGCTGAGGGACAGGTAGAGCTTCTAACGAAGAGTTTTCAGTCAAAAGAAAAAGAAATATCTTCTTTGAAGTATGAGCTGCATGTAATTTCTAAGGAGCTGGATATCCGAAACGAAGAGAAGAGTATGATTATGAGATCAGCAGAGGTGGCAAACAAGCAACACACAGAGGATGTCAAGAACATTGCCAAGCTAGAGAGTGAGTGCCAACGACTTCGTGGTCTGTTGAGAAAGAAGTTACCAGGGGCTGCTGCATTGGCACAGATGAAACTAGAAGTTGAGAGTTCACATCATGTCATCAGTGCATTCCATCAAAGAAAAGCTACTTCAAAAAGTGATAGCCTGCAAGAATCTGAGTTTCTTTCCAAGCAATTAGAGGTGTTGGAAGAAGAAACAAGGACATTGAAAGAAGCATTGGCCTCAAGTAATGCTGAACTTCAGGCTTCTAAAAACTTGTATGCTAAAACAGCTGGCAGACTTAAGCGCTTGGAAGCAGAGATAAATCAAGAAAGAAGCACCCAGAAATCAATTTTGGCAACCAATTATGGAAACTCCTTTAGAAGAATTTACAGCTATTCATCGAGCATTACTTCTATCTCAGATAATGGGCATGAGGATCCTGAAAGTCCCGTTGAGTCTTGTGCAGCATCAATTCTTGACCATTCTGATATCAGGAGGATTGGAAGTGTTGGTAAGTTTGAGAATCATAGGAGTGAAACTATCTCAGACCTGATGGATGACTTTCTGGAAGTGGAGAAGATGGCATGTTTATCAGAGAATGGTGATGCACCTCTTGGCATTATTAGTAAAACTATTCATACTGCCGAAGGTATGAAGGCTCGTTGTTTATCTTCAAATCAAAGTTGTTTTGACACGACAAACCAAAATATAGAACCTGAGCCTAAAAGTGAATGCACTGATAAGACAGCTGAACGTGATGAGCATATGCAAGATCTTATGGAAAAAAAGCTGATGTTGCGGGAAAACATGCAGCTTCTAGAAGAGCTGAAAGCACAACTTGAGTCGTCCCATAAATCATGTAGTTTAACTGAGATTCAGCTGAAATGTATGACTGAGTCTTACAAATCACTTCAAACTCGTGTAGAGGAGCTAGAGACTGAAAATACGTATTTACAGGAAAAGATAAATGAGCTAAAGAATGACCTTGCAGAGGAAAAACGAAGTCATCATGATGCTTTGGTGAGATACAATGAAATTGAAGAGAAAATGCGAAGGTTAGCTTGTGCCTTAATCGGAAACAATTGCATATTTTCTGGAATGTAAAATTTAAGTTTTGTATATTCAACTTTATGTGACCCTTTCTAAAATTTCTGTGTGTTTGCTACTTGAAGGGACAAGTGCTTGGTGTGTGCATCAAATTCGGCAGCAAACTCTGTGAAGGTATGTAAATTTACATATCTTTGTAACAACAGTTTCCATTGTTTCTTATATATCATCATGCATGTTTGGCATAAACCTATGAAACTATTAAATATATTTGACGTATGGGTTCTTTTCTCAAAATTGAGGTAAATTTTGGCTACATTTCTTGAAATCATGAATGCATCTATTTTCTTGCTTCATGCAGGGAACTGCTTTTGCATTTCTAAATTCTATCGAATTGGTATTTGAAGTAATGTGGGTATGATATATCCTTATTCAATAGGAAATCAAACTACATCAAACTAAAAAATGAGGATATGATGTATCCTTATTCTGAATAAAATTGTTGTTTGATGCTACTAATTCTTGTCGCATGTTTGTCTTTGCACATTTAAAATAAACCTCTGTTTTGTTTAACTTAAAGAAAAAAAAAGTTTTGTCCCTCTTTCTTATGTTACTAGGCTTTCTTCATGGCCTTTCTAATATCTTCACGACATCAGGATAAAGAGCTAGCAGCTGCGGAGAAAAAGCTGGCAGAATGTCAGGAGACTCTGTCTATACTTGGTAGACAATTGCAAGCCATGTGCCCCCAGATAGGTGTGACCACGACTCAGCATAGCAAAAGGCTTCAAGTGAATGAAAAGTTAGCCAAACCAACTTATGGCTGGTCAAATTCTTATGGGTCATGTAACTCAAATGAAATTGATCATGCTGAGGCATGTAGCGTAGTGTCTGACATTCAAGGAGTGGTTGATGAGTTTTCATCGCATAACTCTGGTGCCACATCACGCCTTTCAGACACCGAAGGCAACTTTTGGTTAAACTCTGAAGCAGGTTCAAATCACTAGGTTATATGCTTACTAAATCAAATTCCTACTTTTCTGCCTCTGATGTAGGGAAGAATCAAGAAATGTTCATCGTTTAAGCAATTTTGTTTTGTTGGAAAGGAGGAATAGTCACCAACAATGTTAGTACATTGGGAGCTCCCCAATAATGTTGTACATAGACTATAGTAAAAAATTATGGAGGATGATGTGTCTATGTAATTCTCTTCAATGTATTGATTTTAAAAAGTTTTTTTTATTTTTGGTCTATTGCCCTTTACTAACAAATACACAACCAAAGTCTCACTTTTTTTTTTCTTACCACGCATTTATTTCTTGGTGAGAAATAAATAATTTGGCTTATGTTACCACAAGATAAATAAAATATTATGTTAATTTTAAATTTCTCTTTCCAAATATATCATTTATTATTTTATTTGTTCAACATCTTTAAAGGAGATCTCATATGAAAAAGTACTCTTTTTGTAAATAAAGATTTTTTTCTTTAAAGCTTTTGGTGTTAGATTTAGCTTCTATTTTTTTTTTTGTAAATAAAGGAGATATCACTATAAATTTTGTAAAATATAAAAATACAAACTACTATTAAATATGCAGTAACGATGAGGGCTATTACTTACTGAAATAATAAAACTAATAAAAATAAAGGCCATAACGGAACGTAAATCGAATTTAGGACCAGATATTATTTTGCCTACTATTTTAAAACAATATTATTAACACTAAAAAGTGAAGTCAAAATGATAGAGGGTCAATCCAAAATGGTTAAGCATTATTTTGCTCGAAAATGAAAACTAAGAGTACATCTGACTTTATACAAAAGGTCAAAACTAAACATTATTTGAATATCATATTTAGAAACTTTCTTTTTTTTACCAATTATAATATTATAGTAGAGCTATGTCTTAGAAACAAGTATATTTATTAGACAATGTTTATTAAAAGTTGAGCAACTTGGGAAATTTTTTATTGCTTGTCCAAAGAAAACGTGATAAGGTAGAGCATATACAAAAATTTTTGTGCTCAATGACGAATGAAAAATTGAAAACATTTGACGTGGAAGGTCAATGAAGATTGAAATCCATAGTCTAAACTAAACTATGAGGGAGAATATTTTAGGATGCACTTAGAAATCCAGGTTTGGATGGAAGCAAAAGCACCAGAAGAAAAGGAAGACAGTAAGGCATTACTTTGTCTGCATTAAATCACGCAAATAGATGTCATAGTTGAACATTTAGTTTGAATTTTGGGAGACACATATACTTGATGTACCAATTTTATAATTTCTTAAAGTGGTTGAGCCTTTGTGTTAGTACATTGAAAATACAGAAAAATGGGTACGTGGCCAACGCAGGCTTCACTTGTGTTCATGAACCTGACATGTCTGCCCTACTACTTCTTCAGCAACCGAACCTACCTTATGTCAGTCTTCAAATAATCGAATGGAGGGTTTTAGATTTGGAAAACAGCGTATAAAAGCAAGTCTTGTCTATAAAGTACATCTCAATACAAGTCAATATTTGACATTTATTATTTGTTGGACTTCTGGCTTTGGATGCTTTTAAAATTCATAACTTTAAAGTTCAATATTATCATTAGTTCTAGTTTTTTTCCATTTGCATTTATTATTTTTGGCTTTCATGATTTTCAAGACCTTCTGGGAGGTACTTTGCAACGAAGGTTTATCACTTTACATAGTGTCTGCAAGAATGAAAAGGGATAAATTAGATTAACCACCCTCTAGTGATTGAGTTGGCTAAATTGCCAGATTGTTGCTAATTATTTAACCTGCCATTCATTAGCCCCACGTGTTTTTCATGTAAATTTTTAGAAATTGTTTCTCCCCCAATCAATTTTGGTGTTTATCCAAATTTAGATTGTACATGCATGATAGGTTTATGCTCATTAGATTACAATACTAGGATGGTGCTTCTTAGCAGCAAAGGCCCGACTTTTGACAACCCCATCCATCTTTCCACATCATGCAAATAAATATACCCATTATCTTCGATGGACTAATGCTTCTTTTATAAGCTTCATCCATGTCTCACTCACCAAATGATATGTGTTCTAGAAAAGAAAAGAAAAAAAAAAAGAACTATTCTTTATAATACTCAATCTCTGTTACTCCCTGTCTTGAGGGCTTAAATTGGTATTTTTACAAACTTTCCTCTAATTTTCCATGTCTTGAGTTATCATGGTTTGAGATTGGTAGATTTGTGTGTTGGATCATTGGTGGAGACCCTCCATTACTTCTTGATTTTACAGATGTGGTGAATATGGGTTCTAGTTTTTGACAGTGAGTCACTATTGACACTGAATAAGATCGACCTGTAATATAACACTAAACTCTGAGTCGTAGGTTGAAGATGTTAAGTCTAATATACTAGATCAATGTTATTACTCAAAAGACATGTATAATATAACACCATGATATATTTATTAGATAATCTTATCTTTTGCATAATTAGAAATTTGTTCTTTGATAAAAACCGAGAAAGAAGATAACTCTTAAACGAGTCTCAGTATAGGATACATGTTCTAATAAAAAAAATCGATGTCCAAAGGTTGATCAAAATAATTAGTACAAAGAACTTAACATAATAGAATGCAGTACACATGAGTGGAGCAGTGAATATTTACTAGAAGATCATGAAAAGTTCATCTAACAGAACATAGGAACCACGGAATGATCGCTGCTTAACTTCATAATTATTATCGAATCATGCCTGCGGAACAGAGAGATAGGTCGACGACATAAAGAGTTAATGTCTTGTACAATAGTACTTTCACATGTGAACTTTAGTGGTTAACTTGTCAATATTTTCCTTTTCCCTACCTGAAAGTGTTGTCATCATTTCAATCTGTTATCTTGTTCTTTTTGGGTAAATAATTATTACTACAAATACCATTTATTATTATAATTACTTTTCTGGCTAATACAACTATACAGTGATTAATTGATCCCTAATTTTTTGTCCTCTATATAAGCAGACATCAATGGACATGATTTGGTGACTAGCAACCTAATTAATTTAAAGTTCTAAGCTTAAAAATGAATCGAAGAAAAGATGGACTCTGACTGGACTTGTGACTCTCTGTGACACACTTGTCCATAGCATATAGCAGCCTAACACTATCGAAGAAAACAAGCTGAACTTCTACTTTAGTTCTGTGGCTTAAGATAATTAGGATTTGTCATGTGTTAATCAGGAAGGGACAAAAGGACTATGTGTTTAATTGTTGAGGGGACCCCATTTGATGAACCATAAGGCCTCATTTTCATGTGCACCAAATGGGCAAGGTTGCAGACAGATTAAGTACACATTTTTCTTTAATTTAATTATGGTGAAGTGTGGATTTACACGTACGCTGAGTAGATACTGATATTGGGACCATGTATGTACTAGAATCTTCATGTAATTTAGAAGGAAAAAATATCTCAGTACTTGTAATTGTAAGGACAGGTATAGTCGTTGTCCCTTATGTCGGCTGTAAGAGTAAATGAAACATGCATTATTGGGAATGTCCATCTTCATATTAGCCTTCTGATTGGATAAACTATATATAAAATGAACAAAAAAGCCTTCTTTGTAAGAAATGATTTCATAACTTAAGGGAAAAAATGCTATAATTTTAAAGTATATAAACTAATAAAATTCTATAGCATGTTGATCCTTACAAAAGAAAAACACAAACAAACGGCCATATATACCTGAATCATGGTCTGTGATGAGGAATTTAAACACGTCAGTTTTTGTTAATTGGGTTTTAGGTAACGTTAGATGAGATAGAAAGATGCCAATGCATGAAAAGAGATAGATGCTAATGAGGGCTAGGCAAACTTTTCCCATGCAACTTATTCCCTTAACCTCCTAACGCCTTTGAGCGACCCAAGCCCCCATAATTTTTTATTTGCACTGTTGGCTCTTCTTAATCGTGAAATGCACATCTTGTGCTTAACTTGGCCAGTTCTCAGAAGAAAGTGTTTTTTTTTTTTTCCTTCTGGAGGTTGCTTCTTTTACTTATCAGAAGTTTTGAATGTCAACAATATGTTTGGATTTAGTTAATCAACTCTTTCAAGCTAATTTTTCAAGCAGATAAATGCAAATTAAAGCAAAGAGGATACCAAAATATTCATCGGGGTAACACCCCCATGACTAACATTGCTTCACTCAAATCACCACTCATCAAAGATACAAATGACATTAATTTGCCAAGGAATAAATATGCTTGGACATCAATCTATATATCTATACTATATACAATAGCAACACCAAACATAAAATGCTAACAGTAGTGACCAAGTCATAACCACTTGGCAAAGGGACTTTTTACTTGTAAATCACCACTTCAGAGAGGGACTATTTTACTAGTAAATCACCACTTGACAAGGGATATATGACTATAATCCTCCGCTTATCCATTGTGTAGTCCCTCCTTTCTTATCTCATCATGGAGGTTAAGGACTCAAAAACAACTTCATCACATGGTATGGTTAGTCCCATGTCATGGTTGAAGCCAAACTCCTCCTCAGCTCTTTGGAGAAGACTTTGAAACTGGGGATGAGCCAGCCATGAGATTGGGATAATGTATCTGGTCCTGTTCTCCCCAACATAGACCGCAAAATGTCCTTTTGGCACATCATCAGGAAGACCCTCTTCATTGTAGGTCTGCTTCTTACCAAAACTTGAGCATCTTTTGACAATTTGCTTGAGAACAACAGCTTGTGGTAGTTTATTGGATTTTTTGATTGCCATTATGTTGCTCTTGCACCTTCAAACTTGGAATTTTTTCTAGCGGAGAGGATTTGGGAAGTGTGGATTATGGGGTAGAGTGGAGGGGTATTTATCATGAGATAGTACAGTGGAAAAGAGAACCAGAGTCATGTGGGTGTGGGGACTAGTAGCAGACCAAAGTTTTTTAGGCGAAACTTGTTTACCAGGGAACGCAAGTTCCAACACCAGTGAACGTTTGTTTGCCTGCTCCTTCCCCAATAGACAAGG